CTAAAACATGCAGGGATAGAGTAGAGTACTCGAAAATGGGGGAGGTACAGTATATGAATGACCTGTAACCTTGGGGGGTTCGGGGGCATGCTCCCCCGCGAAAATTGAAAATTTGAACCTCGGAAATGCCATTTCCTGCGTTTTCAGCCATGGATTCGTCCAACAACTTTGCTGTACTAAGCCTAAGGAACACTTACTGTCCTTTTATTTTAAACAAGGGAAAATCACAAAATGAGCTTTGATTAATATGTAATAGAACAAGATTTCAATAATGCGATTTTTAGCTGCCCTCCGAAACAACAATGTTCCACCAAATGTAGCTCTGTAGCTTTTCAATCGTTCATACAGATAGCTTGTTGGGGATCGGGTTGCATCCTCTTCAGAAATTTTTTAAAATCTAGGCTCTCTAAACTGGCATTTTCGCATTAAAATCATCGTATATGCAGTACGTTCAACTTGCATCCTGTAGATGGGCCTTTGAAGCTTTTTAAATATTTAAAATAGTTTGGAGCTATGTTATCAAAAAACGCACACAGACTCAACCATCCAAAAATACTTTTTCTACCATGCATATTAGATATTTATAAATAACTTATAAACTTGTATATATCTTAAGCCCAGATTTTCTCAGGGGGGGGGGCGACAATTTTGCCAGGGAACTTAACGCCACTGGCTATCGTATATGTTATAGGCTCCAAAGGCGGTAGAATCCCTGATGTTGTCCACTGTTCACCCCATGTTCTTTTAAGCAAATGTGCCTGGTCAAAAATGCAAAATCGTGCAAGCCTGTGGACACAATACTGAAGTGAAGAACGTTGAGCGCTCTCTTTTGCATGATATTTTTTCTCGATTATATGCTGCATGATTTTTTTCTTTCTCCTTGGATTGCAGGATTTTTTTTAAATCTTCCACCCCCTCAAAAATCCAATGGTCCGCCCCTAAATGCGTTTTATTACCCTCTATTAAGCCGATTTTCCACTAGCGAATTTTTCCGCGCGAAGCGACGTTTCTCCTTTGTCGGCATCCATTTTGAAGCCCTCGGAAACCGTCAAAATTGAGATCGGCAATAAAGGGCTGACTTAAATTTGACCTAGGTCGGCACGTCTCGGCATTTCTTAAAATCTGTTTCAGGTCTTGGAGCACTATTAATCACACATTTACGAATCATTGAAATCGGAATATAACTGGAACGTTATCTCCAGCCGGAAAACTCCAGACGCGCGAAATTTGATTTTCAGACACCTAACGTATATACACAATACCCGTCAATTTTTAAACCTTACACCGTGTGTGTTCAGTTAATCGAACTACGAATCGAATTCTATAATCGGTGACTTTTTAACAGCTAACAGCACCAAAAAATTCTTACTTTGGTTGAATTAAGGTCGGCAAAAATTTGCCGAACTTGGAATGCCGACCTCGTTTTCGAGGACTGATTTTGCCACATCTTGCTGACGTAATAGTGATACCGACAAAGGAAAAGGTCGCTTCGTGCGAAAAAAATCGCCAGTGTAAAACCGACCGCTTTATTGCCTCTTTTATAGAACAGTATAATAAGCAACAACAACTGAACAACCAAACAAATTTAATTAGAAAGAATTTGCATTGCTGCATGTGTGGTTTCTTTGATGCATGCTAGTCGTGATATTCGGTTTGAATTATTCAGGAAGTCAATTTTGGTTTCTTCAGTGGTTATCTTTAGCCAATCCAGTTTTGCCGACTGAGATAATAATTTGCCGATTTGTTCCACCCCCACCCCTGTAGCGCCGGCCCTGGTTTACAGTTTAGGCTGGTTTGATCACGTGAACCTTTGTTGCGTAGCATCTGTTCCTGGGAAAGCTTTCCAACTGTATGAATAATACTTTTTTCGATTTCGAATTACGAAGTTCAATAAAAGTACCCCAAAAGAAAATCTCTTTGCCTGAATTGGTAATTCCAGCTTTTAGTTTATGCCTGCAGGGGATGATGAGAAGTAAGGTATCATATTGCTGATTATAAAAACTACCGAAACAACCGAAATATTTCAATATTTACAAGTACACTCCGTGTTTATACGGCCACCATTTTTATTTTTTCAGCATAATCACCAATGTGATACCTTACTTCCCATCGTCCCCTGCACGCATATACTAAAAGCTGGAATTGCCTATTGCAAACGCTCACTCAAGATTGAGGCTAATTTAATTATATAGTGAGTTCACTTACTTTCTGATGTGTTTTATTTCAGAAGTCAACATCACCAAAATAAAGGAAAACAAAAACACAAAAAGAGTCAACACAAGCATGGTGGTGATTCAAGTCGTAAACAATATCACAGCGGATCATTTCATAGTGGATCATCTAGTCTTGAAATGGAGCACACAACAGGTATCACCGCGTTAAATGAGTTATGAACGCCTGTAGTTTATTGTTGAATTTCGACATTGCACATATAATTTTGATGTTTCCTTAGCCGCTAGTTCAAAAACACACTTTTCATCTAGCCTCATCGACACTATAAAAACGGAACGGATTATCCATCAGACGTATTTCGGCAAAGAAAAGATGGTTTGTGTGACAATCCATGTGTTTTAACGCAGCAAACAGATGAACCATCTGTGAAGACGATGGTCTACATTTAACGTGGCAATGTGATTGGATCAGTTCCTACTTTTTTACTGGAAAATTGGCTTAAGATATATGTTCGTATCTTTTACTAATAACTGAGTAAAATAATTGTCAGATTTTTTAGTTGGCAAATATCACCTAACAGAATTTTCGGAGAAAATAATACCAAACTGAGAGACAACAATTTCCTTGAATTTTAACCGATAACTGACTTGCAAATGCTGCTGCCATTACGACTTTCGACATAATACATCTTTTTCGTTTCCAGGCCATGGGTCGTGTGTCTTAGAAGTTTATGACGTCATATTGAATTCACGTGATCAACATCAGGTAGTTGATGACTTGCTGCAAGCTGGAGCGAAAATAAGTTGGAACGAAAAGACTAAACAGTCGGGAAAGACGTTGACTGCTAAAGCGACTTTTAATTCATATGAACAGGCCGAGCAGGCTTTAATGACGAACACTAATCCAAATTATAAATTGCGTCGGTGCCCGGCTGATATTCCGTTCTTGGAAAGCCAAAACTTTTAGGATTTTATGTCATTATTTTTAAGCTTTTTAGTTAGGGCATTGACGCGTTAATTTTAACAAAATTATGTTAGAAGTAATGAAGTAATATTGATTCAATAGAAGTAGTAGAAATTAATTGTAGTAACCTGTCAAATTTTCTTAGGGACCGTTCATTTTTTATCAGGAGGAGGGGGCTGGTGGTTTTGGGTGCTTTCATTGATAATTTCGTCTCGACCCCCCAACAGATGCAGGGAAATTTCCAGTGACCCCCTTTCTACTCCAAGTTTTTTTCCCATGATCCCCGTACATGCATATGGTCTTGGACTTTTGGTCATGCTAGGTCCTACCCAAGCGTCATAAGATAAGCAATTGTAAAGCAATATACTTCATTTTATAATAGGACAAATCGTCATTGTTTTTTGGCTGTTTAATAAAGTTACCGGAAGTGACAATTTTGTGCATTTTGGCCAAAAGAAACAAAATAAAACTGATTTACATTTTGCATTGCCTTAATACTCAGTGTCACGTCCAGTAGCTTTTAATAAACAGCCATGAAGATGAAGCTTTTTTCTAAGAAAATAAATTGCGTTTTAGAATTCACTAAATGTCTAAATATCACAAATATGTAAAATTCCTAATTGTTCATGTGTACTTTAAATTTAAATTGTCTACTGATGCATGTACTAAAACTTTACTCTGAGTTTTTATAAATGAAAGAGCATGATAGTTGATTGCTTTGATTTTTATATATTATATGTATTCATTGATGTTTTGGTGGCCCCCTCAAAATGTGACCCCCCCCTCTCACATAGCTATTTTTTCTGTTGGCCCCCTGCAAAAACCACCAGCCCCCTCCTCCTGATAAAAAATGAACGGTCCCTTATGTCGATGTGCTCAGCCAACCTGGAAGAATTATCTGAAATAAGTATAGGTTATTTTGAGGCAACGAGGGGATATGTGATTTATTCACCGAGGCGCGCAGCGCCGAGGTGAATAAACACATATCCCCGAGGTGCCTCAAAATAACGTACTTATTTTTCACACTGCGAGGTCGCGTTAATGAGTCAGAAAAGAAATAATTCTCAATGCCATATTGCTTTTGCGATGTTGTTTTTTCTCATTTTTTGTGCTGCAAAGACATTGCAGGTGAATATTAGAGGGGATTATTAATTGCATGTGAATATTAGAGGGGATTATTAAACGGAAATTGATTAGAGGGGAATATTGAATATATTGCCCGACAAGAACAAAGGAAACCGAGCAGGGTGAAAAATAAGATATGAGGAAACTACAGGTTTGTCCAAATCCAAAGCGATCATTGCGAGGGACTTGTTATCAGTCACGATCACAGGGAGTTAAGGGCTTTGCAAAACATCTCTAATTGACGATCGATCTAAGGGAATCCTATCCTACCTATACGGGCATACCCTAAGTTTGTGATTTTGTTATCACCACACATCCATCAGCAATAAAAGGTGGGCCAGTCCATAGAATACTGGGAGACGTTCTAAAACATTTTATGGCCGATGCCTTTAGAGTGGCTGAAAATATACGACCATGTCTGCCCACTAGAAATAAACCAGGGTGAATTCCACATAAACTCAGAGGAGAAACTATAAACTCGCCCACATTTAAATAAGTGTTCTATTAATGAAGAATTAATTTATCACAACAAATGTTATCACTGAACTGCATACTTCGATTTTATCGCACCATGGCATCACGGGTTTTTATTTTATCAAAAATCAACAAATAATAAAGATACCTGGTTTGATACAGTTCCAATAAGAATCAGATAAAAAGAGGAAGAATTCTCAAAGGATGGATTAAATATACGACGGATTACAAAAAAACTTCCTGATCCGCCAGCAGGAATTTGAGCCCGCAATGTCATGGTGTCACACTGTTAAATTAAGTATGATTTGGACTCGATTTCTAGTATAGCATCTATACCTACCACATATTTCAACGATATATCGTTATCCAGTCAGACTTGGGTAGACGATGCTTGTGTATTTGGCAAAAATCGTTCAGGGCAATTGGATTCTTTAATGACGGGGCGGTGACAGACGTCAGAACTGCAGAAGTATCGTTGATTTGATTACGTCCCCTCGTCATGAAAGCTAAATTATTGTGTGGGGATGCAGCTAGAGAGCATCCCCCAATAATTTATTTGATAGGGAAGCGTAACTAGATAACTAATAGTCTTAGTTTTAAGGCTTTTATGGTGGACTTCATTTTACTACCTCGACGAGCCGTGTATACTATATAAACTGTGGAAGATCTTTGCGCATGAAATCGTGCACACAGATGACACCAGCTATAGCTGTCTTCTGAAATTAAGAACTGTGACATGTGTTTATCCGTTTCTATGTGCCTCTGAGAAGGTTTAACCATTTAAGTGGACATATTAACGGAGATATGCGATGACTCTTAATTAACATTTTTACAGACGTACGTTCATTGACAGTGATATTGACAAGAACGGTGCATGAGAGGAACACGACAATGGATTTCCAGAGCTGAGTAGAACTATCAAAATTCTAATCTAGAATACTAACTAGATATTCTGTTGCACGGTGTATTTGTGCCACTTGACACAATATATTACTTGAAAACATACTTACAGTAAGCAATGCAGTCATGGAGACATGGGAACCGTTTCTTTTTTCGAAATTTCGTGTTCCGAGTAGAAATAACCAAACATATATTTATCTAGCGTATCGTACAATAGGAATTCTCAACCTTGGATTCAGAAGTAAATTGTGAACTCTCTTTTAATAAATTACACAACCAAGCCGTAAATCTTTTCATTTTGGCATGGAACTAAATATTTGTATTAATATTTATTCAAATGCGGGGAGATGGAATAAAACTGTTTTTCTTTACGTTTAGCCGGATAATTTTATTCCACAAAGTAAAATTCCCACGATTATGGCGCAACACATTTACAGCAACTGATACTTATCATTTAATATCAGTTTCAGGAAAAAATTAGTGAATGTCTCTTTTATCGGATATTTCATGGTTTCAAATATCGATAATGAATGTCTCCGATTCCATTCCAATAATGTTGGGAACCAACACTGCAAAACATTACCACAAGGCACAACTTTCAGAACCATCCTCAGAGATATGATAAACTAGTTTCATGTTTACTTCGTGTATGGTCATATTAATGTTATGTATCAATTGGCATTGCCATCAAACAAGAAAAAGACAACAATAGTCAATAGACCTTTACCCTCGTTTTCGTGTCAAATAGTTACTCATGTTTTGTGCTTAGTAGGTTTGAAAATTACTTTGTTATTGAACTTAAGAACAGCAAGAAACAAATTCGTCCAGGAAAACATAGGAATATAATCTTTATCTGCCCCTGACATGCTAAAATAAATTAGCATGGAAACGAGGCCATTGAGTAAAAGAATAATCGGTAAGGTCTATTTATAGTAAAGAACAATGTCTAGTTTTGTTCTTTTTAAGAATTAAGGTGCGAATTTGGTGGGGGTGGTGGCGCCGTGGCGGAAGACGTACCATCCAAAGTTCCTAAACTATCAATAATATAGTGTCGCACTTATTTTTGTTGCCTGTTAAAATCTGAACAAGTACTGGAGTTGGAAAATAATATAAAAATATGTACAATTGACAGTGCATAGTCAGGATAGTTACACGTCTAATAAGTTTAACTTTCTTTGGTAGTTTGGTTATCAATATGTCCATGTTAGTTTCTTATTCAAAAATGTTAAAAATGTACCATGTTACGTTTTCAAAAGACAAAGATGTCAAAGATTTTTTCTGTACAGACCACTGGGTCCACTGTAGACACTGTAGTCTGTACAGACTTGAATGTGTACATTTATATGAAATGAATATAACGAACACACACAGCTATGTTAGGAACTCGATTGAGAAGAAAAGAGTTACCATTAATTATATATGTAAAGCAGGTTATTGACGGCGGCTCTTTGTAATATAATCCATGTATTAAAAGCACAATCAATATTGGCCGGAAATAGTGTTGTTATACGGATGCACGTGCTGAAAATTTCGTGCACTTCACCAACACTTGCATGTCATTACAGATGACCTTTTCGTTCGTGGTGGGATTTAAATATTCCAGTGTCAGAATATAAACTCTAATGGACGATTCCTGCTTTTAAAAGACAAGAGGGCTCTTATATTGTATTTGGTATACCTAACAGGTTTGTTTGTAGTCTATGAATGGCGAAAACTAACGTTTTTAAGCATATTTATGTGTTGGCCCACCGGCGTGGTCGACGGTGACCAGCATAAGGATTCAATTTTAAGATATGCAAATATGAAACAAAAATTCAACTGCATGCAAGAGAGTTTTATATTGTATTCACACATTTCATCATGAAATGAATCATTTTATAGGGAAAGATAACGGACATATATTTTATTTACGAAGATCTCTGTTACTTACACTAAAAAGTGGATTTGGATGCGCCATGCGGTGATGCCTGAAGTTTGTCCTTGTTTTGACACAAAATCCGGTCGACGTTGCCAGTCGGTGTTGATATATGAACTAGCATTAGGCATATCTATGTAAGACCGTTTATATGTACAAAATGGCAGTCCAGCCAGTCAAATACGAAGAAGTTGGTGAAATCGGCACAGGGGCTTATGGCACTGTTTACAAAGCCAGAGATTTGTTAAACAACAATCGCTATGTAGCCTTGAAAAGAGTACGGATTACAAACACGACCGAAGAGGGACTACCAGTGTCAACCTTGCGTGAAATAGCCTTGTTGAAACAAGTTAACAAAATCGGACATAAAAATATTGTCAGGTAAGGTGTGTTTCGGGCAAGTTATTCCAAATTCATGCTGTGTACATGGATTATGGAATCAATGCCGCGTATCCTTAAAATACCTTTTATTAATTAAAAATCTCAAACACCTTTAGTGTTTGTAAAACATTGTAAAATATTAAATTTGCTAACTACTGTGCAGGTACTATAACTTCTGGGGATTGGGGATTTTTGTAACTTTTTAACAATTTTTTTGAATTTTTTAACATTTTTTGTTTATTGTAATCTCCTGTGTGCATGGAGATGGAAATTTGATCGTTTTCAATGCATTTTATGCTGTCATTAAACTCAATAATCCAGTTAATTATTTTGCCTCATCAAAAAATCAGTTCATCCTCCCACACATGTGTGATTTCAACACAAAAAGACACATTTCAACACATTTCAAAAGTATGTTTGTATCTGTTTTCTTTATTCATGCACATTTAATAAAAGGTGGTAAAAGTAAATTTCACTCGGTGGCATTCCTTCAACCACCTTTTGAGTGGGAGTGAGGGATGCAACCTGTTTTGTTGGTAACATTTATACAGGCCACATGCATATATCCCTGACATTGAATTTGATGATATAGTTGTCATTCACCATGAAGGCACAGGTTATTCTGAGGTGATCACCTTTGAAGGTAGTGAAGCCACCATGCCACCTGTGACTTCTTGAGCAGGCAAGAGGTTTTGGCAGGCCAGAACCAAATATAAATTATTCATCAGTGCTAGCCCAGTTGTAAGCTTCCCTACAGAATCGTTAAGTATAATTCTTACATTTGGGCTACTTTCCAAGCACGATAATGACGACAGGTCAGTACATGCTCCCCTGCTACTTGTCAGTGATCATGTTCCACAGTTTAAATATTGAGGACCGTCTCCCACTTCCCCGCAAGCCTCTGCTATGTACTTTAATAAAACGAAGAACTATATTAGAATATTCTAAAGTACCTTCAATGCAAAACATGAATGTATTTATATTGCACTAGTGGTTCACCACCAACTGAATACAGTAATTATTACAACTAGATGTTTCATAGGAAGTTCTTGAGGGATATAGATATCAATATAATCCCTCCTTCTCAAGTGAATATGGTTGATAGAAATTTGAATAAAAAAAGCGATTACATTTTTTTTGTCTTTCATTTCGGCTAGAAAGTAAAGAGAAATGATATAAGACTTGTATTTCTGCAGAATTTCACTCATAATCATGATTTCTATTTCTTGTGCAGCACATATTGACAGCTGTCAGCTGTGTGAATTTGCTATCATGCTGGGTTTCTTGCATCTGCCATGGAATGGTTGACTGCACCAAATGTCTAGAATTCATTTTCATAATAATTGCCTTCCTGTTTTTCGACTATTAATGTTTTGTTGTTTCCGACCTTGTGAAGAATTACCTTTCAAGCTCAGGTGGTTGCTTTTTATTTGAAAATATGTAACAAAATGAACTACAATGTACATTCATACTGTCTGCAGTTATCCATTGAGTAATATCATTTAAATGTTATATTTATAGCTTAGTTGTTCTTCTAAAAAATAGTTGCCTTTGAATTATCTGCATGATACCAAAGTTTTAAGTGAGCATTTTGGGAGCTCCTTAGTTAAGAATGTTCATACAGATTTTGCTAGGGGCACCTTTAATCATGCTATGTACATTAGGTAAATTATTTTGTTACTGGTATTCAAGCATGCATGACATTTCAGAGACAATGATGCCAGTGTCGCTGAACCTGCATGCCATTTACCTGGCTGACGGATTCTCATCTATTAGTAGGCCTACTACGTGCATATTGTGATTGTTAAGAAAAGTGCCCATTTCAGAAAACCAAATGTAAATCTGAAGTACTACACTATTCATAAAACTGTTGCTGCAGTGTTTAAAATTGTTTTGCAAAATATTTTGTTCAAAAATGCATTGTTCATGATTTGTGAAAAGATCTTCTGTAAATCCGTGATAAGCCCTTCAGGAAATGAAATAATTTGATTGAATAGTTGCAGTATTTCAAATGCAAAATCGAGAGATTTAGTGACTTTGATGAATCATTGGTACCTACGTTTCATTTCTGTTGAAGTTTTAGATTTGCTGTGAAAGTCATTGATATTACTATTAGGGAAAAATTAACTGTTTTTATCTAGTATTGTTAGTCAAATCTGCTAGCAGTGACAGCAATATTCACCGTCATTTTTGCTGCTTTATTCCCTTAATCCTTATATTAGAAATAATAGAAAAAAGAAAACGCCACTTTCGAGATCGGTGCGATCTAGTTAACAAGATTAAATACTACATCAGACTACGTCTAACATGGTATCAGGTAGTTTGAGAAGATAGACCTGACCGTCCTTATCGTTTATTGCACTGTTACTTCAATGTCGGACCTGGTTTTCATTTCGGTAATATAATATATCCTGCTACAACAGACCGGCATGAAATAAACGGAAAGGTGTATTGGAGTATTGACTCGGCAAAACAGATTCTTATCATGCAGTTATGAAAATTGTCAAAGCCGTGCCGAAGATACAGTTACAGAGAATTTCTAGATAACATACAGCTCACAATAGCTTATCTCGGCGCTGCTCCCTTCCCTGATTTCAGTTCGACCAGTAAAACCGCCGGGCCTCAAGAGAACATATCTTTATATACAAACGCACTCTGCCAACTCGTGCAGGATTGAGTATTTGTTCTCGTGAAATGTGAAACGACAGATTTTTGTGTCGTGAAATAATATCTAAATATCTCAGTGGACGTAGTGGCCGGAGCCATGATTGTGGGCGGTAATTTTTGTTCGGCAAACGAGAATTTATTTGAGGCCAGTAGAACAAAGTCTGGACGAGTAGTGTCTATGCATGTGTTTTCTTGATGTTTACTAGATGTATTGACTATTGGTTGGTTTTTGACTGAAAGTCTTTCAATGTTGAACTTTTAGTTCTTGTAGTACTGCAGTAGTGACCAGTAGTGGTGAAATTAGTTTCGAAAACGTAAAAACAGGTTAACCTGTGTCCTATTAAGAAAGGCATTAAATACTCGAGTAGAAAATAAAATTAACACAGTCAAAAACGTATTGTTTATTAATTTTCGCGAAATGGTTATAATTTTTTTTACTAAAATATGAAACGTTTTCTTCCCGTGAAACGTGACTCATGTACTCGCATCTGTACATCTGTGACTCGTGAGTAGATCTGTGACATGTACTCGCATCTGTACATCTGTGACTCGTGAGTAGATCTGTGACATGTATACTGCATCCATCAGCAGAAGAAAATCGCACTAGAAATCGCAGCAAAATTGCAAGTTTGTACGGGCCTTAATGAATCCGTCTTTTCGATCTTCACAAGCGTCATTCTCAGCAGCATTAAAAGTGAGAAATAAAATTAAATAAGCGGATTGGTTGTGAGAATAAAGCACATACTTCCATATTCTCTAACCGGGGTAGGGAGGGGAGGGGAGGGGGGGTGGCTGAAGAGCTTGGACCCTCCTCCAGTTTATATGTTGATAAATGACCTGAACAAAGATCAATCACTAACCGAGACTCTTCTGCATAATTCCTGCATGACATTTGCAACACATTATTTCAACTCATTGCCATTTAGAGGCTGGTGACGTTCATAGATAGATAGATTGAAAATGGTATTACAATGCACGATTTATTCTACCTGGAAGAGTCTAAAACATCCAGTAAGAAATTAACAGAATCAAGTCTTTGCTAGCACGAAAAATATATCCCGTTAATTTCCCGCAGGATTTTTGCTTGCCTGCTAGCCTGCCACATCTGAAGTAAAACTGGCCCGGCAAGGCGAGCTAACCCGGTTTGTTGGGCCAGCCCTTGTATTACGAAGTACATTGGTGTGAATTACCTTGGTCCTAATTTACATATTTAGTCAGTATATTTTGTGCAAATTTCTCCAGCCTTCTGGATGTGTTCCATACTCCTCACAATGCATTACAAAAAGAGATTTGGTTGACATTGGTGTTTGAACATGTTGAACAAGATCTCACAACTTACCTTGAGAATTGTCCTCCACCAGGACTCAGTGCGTGGACGATCAAGGTATGTTATGTAGGACGATCTTGTGACATTTTACCCTACTAAAAATGGAACAAAAAATGAAACAGATTCCGTAGAAAAATGCCATCTTAAGAATTTAGTATACGACACTCGAAATTATACTCTAACATTTGAGGTCGCCAGTACAGTTATATGATTTTACTATTGGCTCTTTTCCACTCATCGCAATGAAAAACGCTGCAAGTGTTGCATTTAATTAAAACTATTGAGCATTGTGATTGAATGAAAACACTCTCAGCGAACTTGCGAGTTGATTCGCGCGATGAATGTAGAAGAGGCTAAAGACCTACCCTTTGATTGAAAGTTTTGAGGATTTTTGAATAAATGGCGAGTTAGAAAAAATGGGCGAACAAAAAAAGGGCGAGAAAAAACGGGCGAACGAAAAATGGGCAAGGAAAAAATCCTCAAAATCTTCAATAAAATAAAGAGACTCCTACGCTGGCTACTAAAGACCCGACGTCGCGCCAAGGAGAATGTAGTAATAATATTCGTATAGCCTGGTTTCCATATGGTCTTAATGATCGTAAAAATAGAGTCACGATCGTTCTCAACGGCCAGTTTATAATAGTTCATACCTGTAAACCACATATAAATCATATGTATTCTCTAGTTATAATCACTCCGCGTATTTTCAGTTCTAAAATGTTGTATTTCGGCTGATGAGAAAGATCATGACTCAATCTTTACGACCGTTACAACCATATGGAAACCAGACTTATTTAGCTTGGCCTAACAATCGTGGGGTGCAGTGTAGGCAGTTATTTACAATAACTTGCCGTGGTTTGTGTCTGAATAACCCGAAAAAGATTAAAAATCGTCGTTATTTTCATGGAAAGCCTTTCGTCGGAATATTTGTAATAAATCTTTCACGATGGGTCCGAAGCGTTTTTCAATCTTTTTCAACTGATTTTCTTTAATGATTTATTAGAGTATCATGCATCAGATGTTAGACGGAATTGATTTTCTACATACGCATCGCGTTGTGCATCGCGATTTGAAACCCCAGAATATCCTCATAACCAATGATGGCAGAGTGAAAGTTGCTGATTTTGGTCTTGCTAGAATATATGGCTTCTCGATGCTTCTAACTTCTGTTGTAAGTACATTGGTTGCTATTATGATCAGGTTCCTAACTCTGTGATGCGGGTCGCAATATTTGTCCGATATGTTCAATTATAGTGGTCGGTCACGTTGCGTTCTTTAGATTAGTGGTGCTTGCATGGGCGTCCAGTGGGGTGGAGGGCAAAAAGGGCAATGTGACTGAGCCTCCATCACAATGGTGGGGTGCAATAAAAATGAAATATGCATAGTCATAGATATAACTGTCAACTTAATGTTTCCCCCGGACACCAGTCACAACCACCCACCTATCCCCTCCTCCAACATACTTAGTCTTTCTTATGCGATGGAAATCACAAGGATTCACACTGCAACCATTTGCACACTGCAACTGCGAGTTGATGCCATTTTGCGCATACCAGGGCATCGTTATTCAGCATTATTTATTTAAAAAATTCCTGGTTTCTGATTGGCTAACAGCCAACTGTGAAATTGTCATATCTACTCAATGGCTAACCAAATACGGATTTTTCACATTCATATTAGCAAAATGACGTCAGAGTCAATATGAAAAAAATTTGGACGCGTTTGCGCCATATTACTATGACGACGAGAATCATATTGACTCGCTGACGCCATTGATATGACGCAACGACGGCTGCCGAAGGACTAAGGAATTGTTTTTTTCTTAATACAAATAAAATACAAATGTTTGTTTTGAATTTTTTAAATAAATAATAAAACAATTATTGAATTCGGTTTTCGCACAATATGAAGAATTATCAAGCCCTCAGTTTGCCGTTATCAACCTCATGCAGCCTTTGGCTTCGGTTGATAACGGCAAACTTCGGGCTTGATAATTCTTCATATCGTGCTCAACCTCATTCAATAATTGTTAATTATTGCCATCACGTCAAATCAGATGTTATTAAAAAAACTGATGTTTTCTTGCAGGTTGTAACGTTGTGGTATCGTTCACCGGAAGTCCTCCTACGCTCAGAGTATGCGACTCCTGTGGACATGTGGAGTATAGGGTGTATCTTTGCTGAACTGTTTAACCGTAGACCTTTGTTTGAAGGCAAGAACGAGTGCAATCAACTTCATAAAATATTCTGGTAAGAAATCTATTTTGTAATAATTAATATTTCAAGGCAATGCAATATAATGTAATGTAATGTAAGAATCTATAAGACTATATTCACCGACAAGATATCTTACTCTTAATAGTACGGACTGTACGGTGGACTAAACCACACTACCACGTCTCCTTATACGTTTTAGGATTATTGGCTCTCCTCCTGAAGATGATTGGCCAGATTATTGTTCACTTCCTTGGGGTCAGTTCATGGGATATATTCATGTTCCTTTGAAAAGACTCATACCTGAGTTGTGTGACGAGGGAGAAGATTTACTCAAGGTATAAAAACGTTCACATTATTTGGGGGTGTCCACCCCCTCGCCCCTCTCCCAGTGTATGCCACTGGTAAACTCCCCATATGCCTGAAGATGTAAGTGCCAGAAGATGTAAGTGCCAGAATTCTACCGTAATGTAAATGCTTTAATTAAAGGATAATTAGAATGGCTCTTTAAAATCATAATTCTTATTTTATTGGTAAGTTTCACTGAGCAGAAAATAATTTCATTTATTTTCATTATGTGGAGTGGTCTTGTACTTAGTGACCAATCAGTGTCAATATTTCTAAAGTTGACCAGCATTTGCGGCCCGGTAACGCTTGCTCTAAATTCTCAAAGTCTGGCAAGTTAGCTTTAATTGCATGTTTGTAACTTATTCATACTTATTCATACATTTTAAATTTTGAACAGAAATTAATCAAGTATAACCCACATGACAGAATCGATGCTCGGTCAGCCTTAAACCACCCGTACTTCAAAGACTTTGTAGAGGAAAGCGAGGACAAGGAGAACTGCAGTGCAGAGAATGTTCCATCAGGCTATCACGTGAAAGAAGCAAGTAATGATATGAATGCACTAAAGGATTGTACAAACGATGAAAATGCCAGAAGATTACGAGTTTCAAACGAACCTGGATGTAATGGCGATCCAAAACATCCGTAGTCGACAAGTCTTAGCAAGATCGATACAGCAGTATTTTACATGACGCAGACAAACATGCTTCTTACAAGCTTTAATATATATTTTAACTAATAGTAAGATAAGCCAGTAAAACCAAGAGAGGTCCGGTATGTACATACCCAGATGTAAACCTAAGTAGCATATGGTGGGCTATGTATATTTGTGGGCTTTTTACTTTTTAATGTTCCAACTATCAGACACCTGAATATCTGGTGCAAGCCTAACGCAATGACCTTTGAATAACATTTATAACAATAGTTTCGATTCAGTGAAATCATTTCATTGTTTTAGAAATGCACTCGTGCCCTTATGTCATCCAGTCACCAATGACTGTTTTGACAGAAATTAACATTCTTTCATCTGCTAGCGTTCGTCAGTAACAAAAAATTTGCATTTTTGTTTTCGAGAGCTAGTGATTCAAACGGGTAGGAATAGGCTCATATTACTGGTCAATGACGACAGTAGTTGTGCCTTGTATATTTAAAACGTTAACTTATCAAAATATAATACTACTAGCTTACAAAATAGGATTTTGTTGAAAAATTTCAATTTAGAGTTCAATATTTAGAGTTCAATATTTTTATTAGTTCAATGGCCAACTCCTGGAGAACTCTCCTTCACGTGTATTTATAAAGTTTGAACACATAGACTATATAGAAGTGACATTGTGTACACGCATATTCGCGTTTAAGAACATTAGGTTAAATTTATCTCAATGCTCTATATTTCATTTCGTCATTCGTCGAAAATATAGAACAGTGCATTCGGGGACGTTAACAGCCAAAGAATGGGAACTATTTTCTGTTTATGGGATGTGAAAGTAATTCATAGGGAAAATTTTACACAACCAACTCATTTTAAGCCCTTCTCAAACGAGGATATAGTTAAGAGAGTTCACAAAGCAACAAAGAGTCTCCAGTTTAAGAATGGTGAATCATACAGTGTTCAGTGTGCAAAAACTGCATGAAAGTTTACCGTTTTTATTTCATTTTCTACGACTTCTAATCTCTCCATCATGATTACGTACACATCTCGTACAGTTTACTGTAACTCTCGCTAACCTGGTCAAACGAATCAAAGCCAAAGGTTGCTCTTACGATCAAAATTTCAAAGGTACAATCAAAGACACAAGAGTTACGTGTTGAGCTGCAACTTTCTTGTTTGATCGGGGGCATTAGAGTTTGAGATAAAACGATGTATATGTTTTGATAACATGCAGTGTTTACTGTATTCACAGTAAGGAAGGTAATCTTCCATTTACCCTTTTGCATCAAAAGTAAAAATAAATAAAAACAAGCAACTAACTTAATATAACCTGTAATAGTTACCAAAAACAAGCCGCATGTATAGGCAATGCTATATATACCAATTTTTGTACTTTTATAAATGTATTCGTTTTAATAAAGTATTTTTACACCGTGTGAACTATTGTACTGTACTGTAAAAGCTTGTTCATTATTAAATTAAATGTGAAAGATTCGCTGTATGAACTCCTGGTTCCCGTTTGCAATAAAAACACGGAAGAGGGACCTTCTGTTCTTGAAAATGGGCGAAGGAGGCGACTGCAGATGTAGTTAGTTACTGTAAAGCGATATATGGCAACAAAATTTAGCCAGTTTTCCTGACCTTCGAATGGCGCTATCTTGGATTATTGCGGATATGCATATTACGTCACAAGCAGGGCCACGCAGATATTTTACCCAGATTTCCAATGGTCATTATATATTCAAAGTCTATTCTCGTTCGTGATTGGTCAAATCGCGTCGGATAATTCTTGGGATCTTGAAGCCGTCGCGTTATTTCAGCTGCTGACGCCATGCTGATGCATGGCGTCACCGAAGTTCGGTCCAAAAAAGTATTATTGCACGCTGTGGTTACCAAGCCCCGGTGCGTTCCATTGTTTGCTAAAAAGCGCGCGAAAATTCAATATTTTTGCTCGCTTTATTTCTTTCTTTCTAGCTTTTGAATACATAATAAAACAATTTTTTCTGTGTTGGTGTTGTGTACTCAGGTGAATATGATGTTTGTGATGTTACTCTGAGTGTATATCCACACCGGGGGAGCTTGAAAAATATGCCCGGCCACGGTGGGAATCGAACCTACAGAATCTAGTTCCTTCGATACCAATGTAATCTAGTAATATGATTTTTTCTGTGTTGGTGTTGTGTAATCATATTCACCTGAGTACACAACACCAACACAGAAAAATCATATTACTAGATTACATTGGTATCGAAGGAACTAGATTCTGTTCCGAAATATTACTTACTAGAACCGACCTGACCGCGTAGCTCAGTTGGCAGAGCATTGGGCTAGTATTCCAAAGGTCGTAGGTTCCATTCCCACCGTGGCCGGGCATACTCTCAAGCTCGCCCGGTGTGGATATACACTCAGAGTAACATCACAAACATCATATAATAAAACAAGTATTGAATTCAGTTTTCATATGATATTTCGTCACCATTTTAAATATTCATTTGCTAACCTGTAAACAATTTGAGGAAGTTTTTTCATCGAGTATTTAATCCTGTAAAGGCTATAAAAAGCGAACAACTTGTCGTTTTCTCGTTTACAAAACGTCGGAAATTCAGTTTGAGCCGCTATATTGCAGAATACCTCATATCCAGAATCCAGACCTTGTTTATATAATAATTCTCAATATCATACTCAACCTCATTCAATAATTGTTTATTGTGAGCCCAAAATTACACTTAAATATTTCAAATAACAATTTGACATCGATCAAAATTTTTGGTCATCGAAATATTAATTTGGTAACACATGAGTAGTTTTATATAGCTACTGTAACCTTGTTTTTGGCGTCGCGAAAACCACCGTCAATACGATCAAAATTTGATCCAAGATAGTGGACAGCCCATTGACAATGTTTCAGTCAAAATATTTCAAGATTTAAGCAAGATATATGAAAAATCGGTAAAAGAGTTTTAATTGTAATTTTAAAAGTTCTATCAAAGACAAAACACATTTTATGACCATATCCCTTTAAGAACAAACATTTCTCTAAAATCTACGTAGTTTAAATGCGGAGGGCTTTATTTACACGCTACTGACATGCACCCCACCTACATCCTCCTCTAGGAAGTAGCCTGTATTGGTGGTGGGTTTCATCAAGTGTTGCCACATGTCTGATTTACAAGCAACCAAATACAAGACTACTAGTACTGCATATATTCTTATTCATTACTTAATATTTACTAGTACTGCATAATTATATTCTTATTCATTACTTAATATTTTCTGGTCACCAGGCACATCTGCTGAACGCGATAGTGTTTAGTGAGACCCACCCATTCTGGAAGAAATATCTAACACCAAACTAACTTAATCCTCCTTCAGCTGAATCCCCTTCGACATTGTCTTTCGTATTGTCTATCGTAGTGTCTTCAACTTTGTCTTTGGTATTTGCAATTTGATGGAGATTATACCTCTTGAAACGGAAGAAATCATTGAGAATGTTCATGAAACAAAGACCCTGGAAAAGAAATAACACAAAATCAGATGAACGTCCAATTGGAGAATCCTGCATAAAAATGCATTCTGTAAATCAGAGTAAAGTGAAAGATCGTACCCATCATGTAAAATACGTTAGACTTCGTTAGACTCAGAAGTGTTGAAGGGTTTTGTAGATGGAATTTCGAGTGTAAATTTTATACATTTATCGAGACCTATAATCAGGAGCAGCTGCGAAAAATGCAACTACACCATCTGGCAGGAATCGAACATGCAATTCATTCCGGTCCAGTTGTCGAGCTTTAACCGCCTATAGTTGCATTTTTCGCAGCTGCTCCCAGTTAGATCTCACCTTCGTTCACCATACTTACCCGTTTGGATGGTGAGGTGTTAGCCCGGGTGACCGAGGGGTGGCCTGGGACGACTACTGGCACTACTGTTACTTGGACTCGGGTTAAGATCCATGCCAGTGGTATCTTGAGCAGACCACCCCCGCAGGGCCAACACCTTCACACCAATTAACAATTGGTGGAAATATGAAGCAGGAGAAAAAATCTTTGTTCCTGATACGTTTTCTATGCTTATAGCGCACACTGATTACTAATACCACCAATGCACGGCCAAGCTCTTATTACATACGCGCCCGGCCCACTTTTTGGTCACGTGATGTGCTGACGTAACGAGGCTTGGTTTCCTAGCTGTTAACCTTTGTTATTGCACAACCTCGTTAAAATTTGTACTCGAAATTTCCATCTACAAAATCCTTCAATATTAATTGGGTTGTGTCCCATACGTACCCTCATAATTTCAACAACTATGACCATGTCTGGATTTTTCAAGTCAACTTTATGACCAGAATTTAAAAACATTGACGATACTTCTGAGAGAACGTCATCACGCTTCAAACTGCTGTTGAATCTTGACTTGTAATGCACACAAATCTAGTGAAAAATTGAGCACAAAGCCTTGAAAATTAATTATACACGTTGATCCTCTACTAACCCCCCTTCCAAATACTCTCTCTCTGACTCCTGTTTTCGTTAAGGTCGGAAATTTATTGAGCATTTTCTCCTTTAACCCCCTACCCTCCCTACTTATTGAAATAAATTAATAGCTGCATGTAGCATGCATGTTGTTTAAATTTGAGTTTACCATATATGAATAAAGTTAACATATTGTTCTACGCCTGTTTACGTTTTCGTGTAAACGTTTTGACTGATTACGAATGTTCTCTGTTCAGGGGTTAATTGAACCATGTTTTATGGACGTTCTTATTGAGTTATCGTCTCACTAAGACGGTGGAAGAATGCGATTTCGACTGGCAATTTTTATTTGACGAGTATGGCCCGTTTCATACGCCGTACTTCACATGTGCCGAATACATTAAAAACAATAGGTAATGAGGCATGTCAGCTCATTAGCTATTGTCTTTAATGTATTCGGCACATGTGAAGTACGGCGTATGAAACGGGCCTATGTGGCCATTTCTCGTTGTTACGATTTAAAAAGAGTATCATTGAAAAGCTAAATAACTGTTCTTTCGTCTTATGTAAAAATGTAATTGTTTAGCCACGTTTATGATGCACGACAGCCTGTTGAATTTCCATAGCGTTTTTTTTGGACACCCTGTATAAGCCCCCCTCTATTAACCTTGCTTTCGAATAAGTCCCCCCCCCCCCTGCACAAATGTGCACGAATCAGTATAAACTCCTATATGGGGCTTAATTGAAGTACGGACATGCAGTGAAAGTTAAACTATGTTAATGGCGACCGGCCTTTTAAATTCACATATGTACATTACAGTACGGTACTAAAAGGTCTAGCTTACTCACGCTAACACAGTCATTTGTATCTTCACCAGGGAGAAAATGTTCTGATACAGTTTTGATAGATTTCAGATCAGCTGAACAAATGTTTGTTATAGGAACAAGTCTTTGAAAACTCCTAAATAACATAATAGAGTATATTACATACTACAATACAGCAATAACCCTTTTCTCTGGTTCTCTAAATGTAAGCTATATGGGACACGTTATCATTTGAAAATGAATTATAAACCTGCCAATGTCGAGACTCGTCAATGAAGTAAGAAGTTGCAATGAAGAAGTTGCGTATTTATCAATTGTAAATTTTTAAACACTTTTCGCCATTGTGATGGATTGGTTAAACCCATGCAAGGGTGCATCAGTTGTTCACATGCTAAGTTGCGAAGGTTCAATTTCTTCTTGACATTTTATAATTGTTAACAGGAAAAAATGAATGAATTCTATGAATGAATTCTATCAACTGAAACAGTACCATCTCCGAGCTTAATTCGGTGTATGTATTTATTGTGCTGACAGATTGGCGAGGCCTTGGGCTGTGCCTTGGGGCCTGTAATATAATACCCCAGCCTAGTCCCAGTCGTTCTGAAGCAAGCGCGAGAAAAAAAAGTGGATGTAGTACGAGACTGGGACCTAGGTGTGACGTCACCGCTAAAGGTGCTTCAGAACGCCTAGCAGATTTCAGTATATTTAATATGGCGGAAAATTTATATATACAAATAATCTTGTAAATACGACAATGTTCGTTGATCACGTTCGATGTCTACATAACCAAATTCAAACTGTATTAAAAATGTGCTCAATTAAAAAATATATATACAAATTTACGATACTGAGTCTGAGCAATGGTCGTATAATCGTTGATGTTATTTATATATATACTCGCAAGTTGTGATCAACACTAGACCATACTGGTATACACAACTACGCTTTCTACTTGACAGGTTTAAGTAGCTGAGGAGATTGGAAATATTTGCCTGACATGACTGTGTTGTCATAACTTTCAAGCTTCTAGATAGCATTTAATATGGCTTTATATTTTAGTAAACACGAGTGATATTTAGCCCGTTATTCCATTCTGACCGTATGGTAGCGAAACGTAGCCTATTTCATTGTTCCGACAGCATTAGAGCAAAACTAATGACTTAATTATAAACGCAAAGGAAATTTCCATAACATTTTCTATTTACAAATGCGGTATGCTTGGTGACCAGGCCAGGGACAACTTTTTTGAAATCAGGGACCATTTTACCGAAATCTGCTAGGCTCTCTCGCTGAAGCGTTCCACACAGCACACCCAGGCATAAAACTAAGACATATTTAAAAATATCAAAGCAGCGAATAGAGAGAGAGCCTGGGACTAGGCTGATAATACCCCTGTGTATGTGTACTATTTGCACAAATAATCTTCCTTTCTCCTGATCAACGTAGTCATTTTGTTCACTTACAGTAACGTCAAGAGAGCATCTAGACCTGACGGGCTTTTGAAGGAAACAGCTGAGCAAATCACACCATCTTCAATCACGTGAAACTAGAACAGAGTTCTGACCAGACTACCGCCCGTATGCTAAAAGCTCACTCACACTTACACTCAGGGCCGCAGAGAAGGGGGGGGGGGGGGGGGGGGGGGGGGGGGGGGGGGGGGGCAAATTGCCCCGGGCCCCGAGTTGCTGGGGGCCCCTGAAAATGTTTTGTTGGGCCCCAGCCTTTTTTGTGTGTTAAATATTTCCGCGCAAAGGACAAGAGATCTGTTTTCTTGGTTTAAGTACCGAATTTTG